AGGGTTTAGGGCTGTTGTACATAGGGTCGCTATGAGTCGCAAACGACTCGATGGCACATAACAACAACAACAACAACAACCCCTATTACCTCAGGCACTGAATAAATCCATCTCATTGAGGGTCTTCCTTTCATACTGTCCCTCCACCCTCCCAAGCATGATGCCCCTCTCCCAAGACTGGTTCCTTCTTACAACATGCTTGGAGTATATCAGATGAAACTTCAGAATCCTTACCTCCATGGAGCACCCTGGTTTCACCTCTCTAGAATGAACCTATTTGTTCAACCTAGCAAGCAGTCCATTGTGTATTCAACAATCTTCTCCAGCACCACAGCTCAAAGGCATCAATTCTCCTTCTATCATCCCTAGTCACTGTCCAGCTTTACGATGCATAGCAAGTGATTACAAAGACTATGGCCTGGATCAGCCGCACCCTAGTCTCCAGACTGACATTGTTGCTCTTTACTTTTGAATAAAATCAGCAGAGCCTGTATATGGTTCTTGAAGCAGTCTGAACTCTGTCAGGAGTAGAAGGGTCCTCAGTGTCCTCCATTATTACCTTTCCTTCACAATTCTACATTCCAGCAGTGCAGAACTGGATTCTAACCCATATGCTTTCTCTACTAATATGTTGTCTTCTAGCTGAGATGTCAGTCTTCTGAACCTAGTAATTCCTAGTCTACCTTTAAAATTCAGTTAAATGACTCTTAACTATTCTTTTTATTTTTATTTTTTTACTTATTTACTCTTTTTATGTGTGTACCGTCAAATTGGATCTGACTGGTACAGCAGGCGATTGTTCCTCCTTCTTCAGCAGAGCATCTGGTGGATTTGAACCACGCACCTCTGGGATTGCAGTGCAGTTTCCTGCCACTAGACCACCAGAGCTTGCCTAAATGACTCTTTAGGATTAGATATCTAAGCTTCCCTTTAAATGTTTCTTTGGGATTAGATGCCATGTCTATCCATGGCAATACTCATAAAGCATTGAACTGTGTCGTTACTTAGTTATCACTTGTCTCTCCTCAGTGAGCATTGAGGAGGGTGGCCCTCATGTCTATTTCAATTTTTTTTTTAATTCCCCAGCTAGTACTATACTGCAAAGGTACATGGTTGAAGTCCACCAGTTGCTCTGCAGAAGATGGATGGAAAATCTCCTCCTGTGCAATTAACTGCCTTTGCAAACCCACCAGAGTGTCAGTTATAAGTCAGTTCCAACTTTACAGTACACAATAACAACAATAGTACTGTACTTGGTGGATTTATTAGAGAAATTAACTAACTAATTAATGAGTAAACTAATGGCAAATAGTGCTTGTTTGAGAGTCTTGGAAAATATATGAAAAGAATAAAATGGCAATTGAATATTTAAGTCGAGAGAAGATACAGACTAGACTACAGCCTTCAATATGGATTACATCTTAACGTCAAGAAAACAAAAATCCTTACCACCAACCCAATAGGCAATATCATGATAAATGGAGAAGAGATAGAAAATGTCAATTACTTTATCTTGCTTGGACCCAGGATATAAAAAACCATATTGTATTTGGGAAAGTCCAATGACAGGGACCCCTCCAAAGTGCTAAAGAGCGAAGACATCAGTGTAAAGACTAAGGTGCACCCGAATCAAACCATGATTCATTTGCTATGTATCTGAAACTTGGACAATGAATAAGGATGACAGAAAAAAAGAATTGATGCCTTTGAGTTACAGTGCTGGAGAAGTGTACCGAATATCCCATGGAGTGTCAAAAGGACAAGCAAGTATGTGCTGGGAAAGTATAGCCAGAGTCCTATTTGGGGCAAGGACGTGCTCACCAAGTTGTGCCAAGAAATCTGGAGAACGACCACTTGGCCAACTGACTGGAAGAGATCGATATTTGTTCCTATCCCAAAGAA